AACCATCGAACGAACGGGAAGACAAGGGCGGACGTTGATGCCGCAGCAGCGAGTGACCCGGCGAGCGAGCGAGTGGAGAACTGAAGCAGAAAGGACAGCTGCTTCTATTATAATTCACCATGCTATCGCTTGATCTCTGTCTCCCCCCCCACACACACACACACACACTCTCATTCTCACTCGCATTGGATTCTCCACGTCATCACAGGTGCAAACCATCTTCAGCGACATCCCCGCGAGCGTGCTCTACGACGCGCTGCACGATCCCGACTACCGCAAGGTCTGGGACGACAACATGATCCAGGGCTTTGACCTCTTCCACCTCGACGCCAACAACGACGTTGGCTACTATGCTGGTAACAATGTCAACGAGCACAAAACAAATACCACAAACAGCAATAGGCTCTTTCAACACTTGTCTGACTTGGAATGGTGTGCGACGGTTTGTGACAGCTCGCTTGCCTGCTCCGCTCAAAAACCGAGACTTTCTCAACCAGCGATCGTGGTTTGCCGCTGCCGATGGCTCAGAGTACATCATCATGAATCACACTGTCGCTCACGATGTAAAGCTGCAGCAGCAACTCCCTGCTCTCGCTTGCCGTTTGCGCAAATCATGTTACTCACCTTTTTTTTTTTTTTTTGTTGGTTTCTCTCTTTCTTTCTTTCTTTCTTTGTTCTCAACGTGTAGGAGTGCCCGCCCAAGAAGGAGTTCATCCGCGCCGTCTCCATCCTCACTGGCTACCTTGTTCGCCCGTCCGGAGAGTCCAGCTCGAGCAGCTCCTCCGGCTGCCAGCTGACCTACATTACCCAAACAGACCCTCGCGGTAGGTCTCGTTGGGGTTTGAGTACGAATAGCTTGTGTTCTGCTCTCACTTTCTGCTGCATTGACACATTAGGGAGCATTCCCAAGGCGCTTGTCAACAAGGGTGCTGCAGCTTTCGCGCCCAAGATCATGACCAAGCTCTACGAGACTAGCAAAAAGTAAGTGCCGAGCAAGGCGTGATTTTTGTGTGTGTTGCTGTTGTCGCCTTCCTTCCAATGGCTCATTTTTTGTTTGTTTGTTTGTTTGTTTGTTTGTTTGTTTGTTTGTTTGTTTGTTTGTTTGTTTGTTTCTCCGTACTTTCGACGTTTTTTTTTTTTTTTTTTTTTTTACTGTCTTTCGTAGGTACCCTGCGTGGAAGGAGAAGAACAACCCAGACCACAAGCCCTGGATCAAGTTTGATGCTTCCAAGACGCGAGTCGTCTCTGTGGAAGAGCTCAAGAAGCACCAGACCGACGTTGCCGCGTCGCTTGGCGCCAAGGACGACACGGTTGTGACGGATGATACTCCCGTTGGCGATGCTTGAGGACGCGTGTTGTTCCCGTGTTTCTTAAGAAGTTGCCCCGTTTGACAACAAGATGAAAACAAACTGATTTAGTTCCCAGTCTTGATGGAGGACGTCGGTTTTTTTTTTTTTTCTTCTTCTTCTTCTTCTTCGTCCTTTTTTGTTTTTCAACTGTGTATTTGCAAAGCACCAAACAACATCTTTCCACCAGACGCAAGGGTCGATGAACGAGAACAGCTGGACTTGATGATTTTTGTAGATTTTGGTAAAAATGAATCTCTGGTTGAATTACTGCAGGTTGCGAGCCTTCTTGAGGTCCTCGAACGATTTCTGCCAGTCGAGGGACTATGATGAGACCATGATGCGACCATGATGAGACCATGATGATGACACAGCGAAGACTTACGCCTTCGTTCAGCTTGGCAAAGAGACCGTCCATGGACGAGTCAAAGACCTTCTCGAAAATGAAGGCGCCGGTGATGATGCCAGTAATGTAGACCGAGTTTCGCTTGAAGGCGAGCTGGTAGATGGACGAGCCGAGCGACATTACTGCAAAGGCGAGAGAGAGAGAGAGAGAGAGAGAGACAGAGGGGAGAGAGTGGGAAGGGGTCAGTGAGGGCGCTCGTCCAGTGCAAAACACGCAAATAGCCAGGCGTCGAGAAGCAAAGTGTTAGATGAGTGCGGATGAGTGGTTGAGCGGCGTTGTGTGTGGGACGGGGGACGACGACGGGGGAAGAAGGGGGGAGATCTCGCTTTCAAAAGCACGGCTCCAATGCAATGCAGCGCAGCGCACCAGCCACCCCATCCATCCATCCAACTGCAACTCGCGCATCAGCATGGCTGCGAAACGATGGCATGATGCGGAAAATGTGAGGCAGAGCGCGCGCCGCTGGGAGACGATGCAGCAACAACACCGAATGCACGAGGGAAGCAGCGGAACTCGAGACTGCAGCCGACGACGACGACGACGACTACAACAGCAGAGGTCCGAGCAAAAAAAGGAGTCCAAGCATCAAAAAGGACGGAGGGGAGGGGAGGGGAAGCGAAGGGGAAGGGGAACGAAGGAAAAAACTCAACACGCACTTGTATGAAAAGAAAAAGACTGGAAAACGAAAACAAAAACGGTTACTATTCAACTCACTACTCAAAGATCAAACAAACGAGTTCAGACATAAAACACGCACAACAAACAACAAAAACCTCTCTTAACAAGAATCGCATCCAGCAACAACACCTCTCTTAACAAAGCTCACTGATATCAACAAAACCATACAAAACAACAACCAAAACGCACACTCTCACGTCGCCGAGGGCCGGATTTCTCGCAGCGCAAAGGCTTGATTGCCAGAATCATCGCGAAAGGCTGTGTCTTCGTCGGCGTCATCATCCGTGTCGCTAAGAAGCCGGCTGTTGGCCTCTTCGTCATTTGGAAGCGAGCTTTCGGCACGACGCTGTGGAACCTGCACAGGAGTGGTGGTGGTGGTGGTGGTGGTGGTGGTGGCTTCCTCGCTGTGCTGCCTGTTTGTGCGCCATGCAGATACTCCCGTCGCAACCAGCCCACAAACGAGCACCACCGCAACGAGTGACAGCATCGAGGTGACGATTTTTTCCTGCTCTTCATCCTCATCGTCGTCGTCGTCGAATTCGTACGTGTAAGCCGTTGCTCCTTCAACAAGACCAATGGCGGATGCTGCCCGAGCTGGGCACACTGTATCGATTGTTCCTACTCAAGAGAGCGAACAAAACAATGCCAATCATACATCAAACAAGTGAGCACCTCATAAATCGCTAGTCTCTCTCTCTCTCTCCCCCTCTCTCGGCGGCCAAACTCGGACTTACGACATGCACTCTTGATCGCAAAACCGACACGATGGAGCTGCTTGTCAAACAGTGTCACAAAAGGTTCCATGAAAGTGTTTCCTAGAACAGAGACACCATGCTCACCGCTGTCTTGGACTGAAAACGAGTACAGCGGTAGCTTTGTGGCAGCGTCAAGAGCACACGTGCATGTGCCGCTCGAGCAGTCTTGCTTGCAGTGCAGATAACTAAACGCTGGCACTGTCAGGGCAATGGCCGTCTGGGGCAGACGAGCCGATTGGTTTGCAGCGCGAGGAATGTCCAATGGCTTGGTGATGGGTACGCCCGCATACGCAAAGTGCTGCTCGACCGCATCGACAAGAGCAATATGCGTGGCAGCTGCGTTTCCTTCGTGGGACTCGATAATGATGGTGATATCCGGCCACGCGCACGGATTGAGCGGGACAGCGACGCGACCATCCACCGTTCCGCTAAAGAAGGTCGATTTGGGCTTGCAAACCACGGTGCAGACTGCGTCGCTCGAGTTGGCCGTACATGACGCACACACGCCGAGCTTGACTTTTGCGACCAATGCCGAAAAGGCCGCAGAAGACAGGGTGAGGTAGGTCGTGCCAGAGTCCACAATCGCACCCGAAGCCACCCCAGGTGCCATGAAGCTTTCGGGCTTGACGCCAATCCGTTGAGCTCCGACGAGCATGTCCAACATGCGCACAAAGAAGAGGGTTTTTGAAACCACAGGAACATGATACACCGGCGAAGAAATTGCGTCGGGCTTGATGCCTCCTGTGGATGTTTGAGGGCGAAGTGGAGGTTGGGGGGAGGGATTGGAAAACAGAGATAGTGAGCATGCAAATGCCAAGAGCAACAGGCTTGCAAGAAAAGAAAAGTCGAATAAGCTTCGAGCCTCAATCCCCACTCTTACCTAAGATCATTTCACCACCAGTCGCGCATAGCTGCATCGAAAACACATCTGCAGAGACGTTCGAATTTGGTGTTGAGACTGCGGCCGCCACAAACGAATCGAGCCGGTACTTTGTGCTTTTGTGCTCTGCATCGTGCTCGTCGTCGTCGTCGTCATCGTCGTCGTCCTTGTCATTGTACTTGGATCCCATGACGTGGTAGGCAAGCCCAAGAATGCCATTCATGTGCGACCGGGTCTTGACCTTGGCCTCGGCAAAGAAATCTTGCTCTGCTGTGATCACTGCGACTGGCATCTGAGCGGCTGCGGCGGGCGTTCCCATCGCATCCAGCAGCGAGACGCGAGACTGGATGACAACACCGTCCCATCCACTGCGCGCGCCTTCAAATCCGTACCTGCAAAATAAACGGCAGCCATCAGCCCAACAACAGTCCAATCTGAGTTGCCAAGTACCTTTCCTCAAACAACTTGCTCAGACCAACAACCGCCAAACAGCGTCCGTCACAAAACAACAAACAGAGCGAGTGTGGTTGAATCCGCACCGCATTTTAGCATGGCCGAGGACCCTGGATGAGCGCCAGTTGACGCCCGGGGTGACGTATGGCCCGCAGCAGTCGCTGCCACTCACAGCGAGCGACGTCGAACCCGTGTCCACAAGCAGCTCAAACCGGTCGAGGTCGTCGTCCGACGGGCCGATTGCCGTCTGGACTGTGGCCGTCACCGTGTAGCCCAGGAGACCGTTTCCATGCAGCGGGAGGACGGTCAGCGGCGGGAGCGGTGGGTCGAGCAGCAGCACTGGTTTGGCTCCATGTTCGGCTCGAGGTTCGGCGCCGCGTTGCTGCTGGCGGTCTGCTGGGACTGCAGCTGCTTTGTCAATCTCGTTGACTGGTGCAGGTGCGGGTGCAGCCACAGCAGCAGCAGCAGCAGAGTGATGACGACGGCGCAGAAGAGCAGCACGAGCAACCGAAGGACGCCCGTCGTCAATGCTGAGATTGAACGGCGCCGCATTTCGACAATCTCGAGCTCGAGCGTATGTAGAAATAAGGGACTGGGGCTGCAGTAAGTGCACTATGCATATGCAACAATCAAATCACAACAAGCACTAAAAAAAAAAAAGAATGCCGACAACGAGTTTATGATGATACAGCATTCCGCCTCTTCAAAACACTGACAGTGAGAAAACACGACGTCTTCAATCCTCCCCAGCATCAAGCTCGGTGTGTTCATCCTGATCAAGCTCGACCAGCTCATCCTGATCAAGCTCGCCACGCTCACCCTGAGCAGGCTCGTCCCGATCAAGCTCAGCCTGATCAAGCTCGACTTGTAGGGCAGCGGCAGCGCTCTGCTGAGCTCCGGCGGCTTCTAGCTGCTGTAGCAAGAACTGGCGTCGAGACAACTTTGTGCGGTAGCCTGCTGGCTGCTTTTCTGGCGGTGTGATCAGGGATTCGTTGATTGAGGAAACGCCTTCGGGACCATGAACGTACACTTTGTGTCTCTGGAGCTCGGTCTCGCCATAGGCCACATGGTGGCAATCGGGGCATTGGATGGCAGTCTCCGGGTGCTTGTCGCGCATGTGACCCGCGAGCTGTGGTTCAAACACAAAGACTTCGTCGCAGACTTCGCACGAGCGTTGGGCGCGGTTGCCCCACATGGTTTCGTTGTGCTTGTGCTCAATGTGCTGCACCAGCAGCTCCGGCGAATGGCAAATCACGCCGCAAACATGGCAGCGCAAGCTGAACGAATGCGCGATGCGCATGTGGTTGAAAACGGCGCGGTGACCAAGGTTGGTCGTGTACTCGCAAATCTCACATTGGTGCAGTGTCTGCAAGTGGCACGCACTGATGTGAGATTCGGCATGGGTCAGCTTTGAAAAGCTGGCCGTGCAGTACGGACATTCCAGCAGGGTCGCGTGATTGCGCCGGATGTGCGAGTGAAGCGTCGTCAGATGGCCCGCCGTGAATTCACAATGGAAGCACTTGATGGTGTGCGGACGGTGCTCGTTCAAAATGTGCAGCTTGAGCAAAAACCCTTGCGCATACGTGTTGGAGCATTCGGGACACTTGAGCCGCGCTTCGGGAGCAAGAAAGGTGCGCTTGAGCACGGTTCGTGAGGTGGTAAAACCCGAAATTGTACTGTGCAACCTCGACCGTATCGCCTGAGACCGCGCGCGCCTCTTTTTATCCTCGACAATCGCGAGTGCGGCTGGATCTCCGCCAGCTCGAGCTTCTCGTATTGCTCGATTGACGCGGTTGGGCTGCATGACGGGACGAAGAGCACCAGTTGGGCTGCTCGAACTCGCTGGTTGCGGTGCGACTTCGACAGTGGCGCTCGCTTCTGGCGACTTTGGGCGAGGAGCGCCATCCGTTTTGTCGCCGGCAGCAGCAGCAGCAGCAGCAGCAGCAGTCGTCGAATCAGACCTGCTCAAACTCGCTGGTTTCGTGGCTGGCGCTTTAGTAGCATTCGTCTTTGCGCCAGTGCTTTGCGACGTTGTCGCGGCACCAGTTTTCCGCGACTTTGCACGACGAGCATTGGGTTGATCACTGGCTTCTTCGTCGCCGGCAGTAGTTGAATCCGAGCTGCTCAGACCCGCCGGCACCGGTTTCGTGGCTGCCTCTTTCGCCTTTGCCTTTGCCTTCTTCGTTGCGACAGAAGCGGCTTCTTTCCGCGACTGCGCAGCGGCGACGCTTGCACCATGCGTGGCGATCGAGGAGAACGAGCACCCGAACGCGGCCAATCCCAGTCCGAACGGCAGCGACGACAGTGATGAGCGAGCTGCTCGTGCGCGTGGTTGTGTCACAGCAGAGAGTGCGACGGACGCCCCGCCCGCCAGCATTGATGGGTTCAGAAGACCCTCCTGGAGACCATGGATTTGCATGGCGGATGGGCGCGGCACAGCGCGTGCTCGGCAGTGCTCGTCGCCAGGCGCAGCGGCGGTTTGTCTTGGCTGGAGTGGCGCTCGATCGCCAGCGCGGCCCTTGCCATTGTTGCCGCCGCCCAAGAAGCAGGTGCGACTGGATCCAGCAGCAGCAGCAGCAGCCGGAGCAGCAGCAGCAGCCGTACCAGCAGCCGGAGCAGCAGTGCGATAGGAGCGGGCGACCCCGGCGGACGTCGTGTGTGCGCGAACGAGTCGCAGCAGCAGTTCATCTCGCACGCCGCCGCAGCCGCTCAGCAGCATATTGATATGATATATGTTTGCTTGTTTGTTTGTTTGCTATGAAAATACCAGAACTCGACGTGGTGGAAAAGGTCGATTCAGCGCGAATGGAGCGCCGATTTTGATCCGCAAACCAAAAAACAAAAAACGAACAAAAACTGAGCTTTTGTTTCTTTTCGTCGGATTTTGTTGGGTGAATGAATTGGTTTCAATGGATGGAAAATCAGAATTTGAACGGTTGTTGAGTTGGTTTGAAAACTGTGGCTTCCGTCGAAGGAAATACAACAAAGATGAAACCCCGAGCAACCCGGTCGTTTCCATTCCAATCGCCAAGCCACCCAGAGGAGAATGCATCGCCAGCAGAATCAAAGTTGAGCGGAAAACACGTCTCGATTGACAAGTCGTTGAATCAATGCAAATCGCATGTGCAAAAAGCACAAACAGTCAAACGCCAAAACAAACACGTTCACGGAACAAACGTCTGGTTGAAAAAACCCGGGACGAACGCGGTCGGGATGACACGACAAACCATGCACTTGTCCTGACGTCGAATCATTTCTTGAGCACACGCCACGCAAACACATGCGTGACAGCAAGGCATCAACTTGGCTGTCGTCGGAGCGTTGTAACATAGCATGCATTCGCGATCGCTGCTCGAACGGCGTTTCGAGCCTTCCGACATTGCCAGCTTTCTTCTCTTTTGTAGCCCAGAGAGAATGGAGTGGGGCGGGGTCTGTAGCAGTTGTGTTGCTACACAGCACCTCGAGCTTTCCAAGTTCGAGCTGTCCGAACTTTGTGTGGAGTGTGCGGATTCAAAGTCGTTGTCTAGCTGCATCATAGCGCGTTGTCCAGCCGCCTTGACACGGTCCTCGCATGACATGTACATGTGCCCATCCGAATCAAGAAACTCGGAGGCCGAAGGAAGTGCCTGCGGTGGAAGCAGTGCAACCTTGTCCAGAAAAAAAATGGCGGGAGGATAGTGCAGCCTGTAGACATGAACTCCGCCGCCTCCTTGCCAGAGACATGTTGGCTGATGTAGTAGAATGACGTCCGACTGGGTTTGGCGCTGCAGTGAGCAGTAGGGAAGACGTGATGGCGATGAACATGAAAACGCCAACCTTTGACGATGCACCACCATCTCCAAGCGCGTCAGAAACCGAGCTTCAAGCCCTAATTATATGCGACAAGTATCTGTGTTTTGAGTATTGAGCCTTTTGCGGTGGTTGTGACGATGAGTCTCGCGCTTGGAGGTCAAAAGTCGCGTCAAGTCAAATGTCGCCCTGTCAACCCTATGACCAAACGGGACTGGTCCGCCCATTTTTTGCCCAAGAATATATATAATATTGTAGGTTGGACGAAATTAGAGTGGCGGGACTGGGAGGCTGACACACGCTCAGATCGGCAATCCTCAACCCCGCCGCCCATTTTCAACCGAGCCCCCTGAGATGGCATCTCGACTTCATGCTCCTTTCTCTCGTTTCGTCCAACCTACGAATATAACTAAATGCATCCTGAAAGTGGCGGCGAGTAGGATTGAAATCCCTAGAAAAACATAAGGCGACACGTTAAATGACAGGCGGGGTGTAACAAGTGGGCATTCAGCGTGTTCGGCATTGACCCTTGACCCTTGACCCCTTCCCCCCTCGCCGGCACCACCTTGGTTATCTATGAGAAGTCATTGAGTGAATTGTCATAAAACAGCAAAACCCAGAACACGCCCTGAGAGCTCAAAAAGAGTGAAGCTTGTTCGAACGGCGGCCAACCAAAAAAAAAGGAAAAAAAAAAAAGAAAAAAAAAAACAAAAAAAAAAAAACAACAAAAAGAAGTCGACAACACCATCAATGCAACATTGGTGTCTTCAATTGGCCGTGATGAAGCTTGATACAAGAAACAAACTAACTCACCATCGATGCCCGCCGTTGACGATGCCCAAAGCACTCGATCGGTTTGGCAGGTTCAGTCCGTCCTCGCTTCTTTGGACACGATGCTGAGAACCGCGCGATTCTTTCGCCTTCCGCTCGCTCCAATCAAAGCGGCGCTCTTTAGTGCTGCGAGGCGTAGCCCGGCTGCTGCGGCATTCCGTGCTGCTGATCCGACTGCCAAGTGCCTGTCGACCAAGGCGGCTGCGACGACGATCGTTCAACGTCCGGATGGTACGCTTCCTTTGCTCTTGTTGCTGTGCGAGAACGCAGCATTGACCGACCATCACTCTCACCGACTTCTTTTGTGTGTGTACTTGATTTGTTGACCAGCACCAAACGGTAGGCGGGGTCTGTTTGAGCTGAAACTGCCCTTTGTCAACCGGCACGATAGCTTAAAAGAAGCTGTCGAGAATCTGGCCGACAAATCCAAGCGGCCTAAGGGCATGTTGTTCACTCTACCTCAAATGTTCGGCTCGGGCAAGACAAGCTTTGTGGAGCACATTGGCAATGAGCGCAATCCCCACGCTAAGGAAATCCTCGATTCGGCCCCGGCAATCAAAAGGCCGCTGTACGAGTCCGTCCTCAACGCGCGCTACATCCTCATCGACATGACCCACTTCAACCGCATGAGTGATATGGCTGATGATGTTCTGGAAGCGATATTTTTGAACACCTGCTCCACGCTCGGCCTGCCACCGCTCGCAGTGCCGCGAGGACCCCTTGGCCGCGTGATTTCGGGTCTTCAGAAGCACGCTGGTGTCCCTCTGCTCCTCCACTTTGACGAGATGGGCGCCATCGAGAATTCTGGCTTCGATCCGTGGTTCCCTGGTTCGGAGTACCGCTGTTCCAGCCAGCCGAACGTGTTCGCGCCGAACACTGGAGCCTTGCGTCGTCACTACACGTTTTGGTCGCGTCTCCTTGCACCGCTACTCAACCTCGACAATGTGTACATTGTGTGCTCGGGCAAGTCGGTCGCATTTAGTCTCATCCAGCACGGGCTTCTCAGAGCTCCAAGCGATGCGCCTGTGGGCTCGAGCACCGCTGACCCTCACATTCCCATGACATCGCCGTCAGAATTGCAAACGATCATCCTGCCACCACTTGGCGGCGAGCACATTGAAGAGATTCTGAACCGACACCGCCCTGATGTCAGCTCCCCAGAGCTGATTGATACCCTCGGTCTGCGCGACAAGCATGCTCAACGCCTTGCCTTCACCGAATGCGTTCACACTCTCACCGCTGGTGTGCCACGTCTGGTTTCGTATGCGCTGCAAGTGCCCTGGGGCAGCGGCATCGACTTTGGCGCCATGACACCAGACGAGATCCGGGCGTACTTCGCCCTCGGTACCACTCAAGCGTCCATCGCCAGTGTCTTCCTCATGAACTCGCTCGAGCTGACCGCTGTGATCAGCCGCCCGCATGATCCACTGTATCTGGCGAGCGCCAACATTGTCCGTCGGGCGCTCGCGGGTGAGGTGTTCGATCCCAAGTCAACAATCGAAGTCCGCGTTCCAGGAAAACCTGACCCTGTTCAAGTTCAAGTTCTACTCCTGTTGGACAGACTCTTCTGTTACACCAAGCCCGTGGATTCCTCTCGTGGACCTCAAGTTCAAGTCATCCTGCCGCAAATTGTTGGCACTCGGAAGGAACTGGCTCTCGCGACCTTGATCATCGAACTCGCAGGCACCGTCGTTACGTCGGAGACACTCGAGGTGCTGGCGTTGTGGTCCATCTTTGCTGCACTTTACCGAGCCACAATTGGCGACCCCAGTAGCAGCTGGCTGCTGGCCCAATCGAAGGGCGTGCTTCCTCAAGCAGTGCTCGACTCGGATGTCGTGCAGCATATTCTCCAAACATCTGCGCCTCATCAAGGCATTGGCTTTGACGAGCGGACGCTGAGCAAGCGTGCGGGCTCGATCACCGTCTCCGTTGCACACGCGACCAGCGCGAAGCGCCATGGCATCGACGCAGCTGCATTGCCGGATCAGTTGGTGGCACGCCTCGTGGAACTCCGGACGACAATTCCGACTGGGCCTATTGCGGTTGTCGAGTGGATTGGCAAAGCGTCCCAGTCGTCTGATGGAATGATTGCTGTTTGCACGGCCGCAAGCCCGACAGTGCAAAACACTGTCTGGATCGGTGTTGCCTGCAAGCTTTTCAATCGAAACAAGATGTCGTTCACCGGCCCAACCATTGTGAATGAGGACATTGAGCGTCTGAGTCGCCACTTTGCTCATCTTGAGAAGAACCTCCGACCGCGCCAACTTCTCATCTCGGTGTTGTCCAGGCCACCAAACTACCTCAAGCCTTCCATGAATAGCAAGCTGCTCGAAGGTCGGGTCACAATGTCCGGCGCAAAGAACAAGAAGAAGAAGGAGGTCAAGAAGAAGGAAGTCAAGAAGAAGAAGGAGGAAGTCGTCGATGAGGAGGAGCTCGAGGTCATCGATATTCCCCCGCGGATGCAAGTGGCGCTTTGGGATCTCGATACTCTGAACAACGTCGTCGATCCTTCTCGCAAACTTACCTTTCCGGACCAAACATAGTCATCGCCGTTTTTGTCAACAAATACAGATTTTTCGAGTCCTTTGTGGCTTGGCGAGCGCGTCTTGTTTCGAAACGCGACTGATCAAACAATTGTGCAATCCTGACACGGCACAGCTCTCTGTCACTTGTGCAATCATCGCTATCAGCATTTGAGTTTTTGTTCATTCTCACATTTAGCACTGCTGCTCAGAAATCTGAGAAGCTCAGTCTAACAGTTGTTGTTCCCTTTTCTCAACAGCCGCTTTGGTCCACATTTCATTGGGCGGAGTGTGCGTGTTTTTGAATACAATATAGTTGATCTAAGTTGGGGATCCCATCAGCTCTATCTGAATGGCAAGGTGGACGCGGCTGGCTGTCCTTGGGCTGCTGGCGCTGGTGCTGGTGCTGAGCGCGTCAGTCCAAAATCGGCGACCTTGGCGTGAAACTCAGCATCCAGCAAAACACTGTCAGTCTTGAGATCCAGGTGGAACAGCGGCTGCCGTGGAATGGCAGTCTGAACAAAGTTCATAGCGCTTGCGATCTCGGTTGCGATTCTCTGGCTTTGTGGCCAACTCAGAGCGGGCGTGCCGCTCCTGCAATCCAGACGATCACGGACTGAACCATTTGCCATCAGCTCGTACACCAAGCAGCATTCGTTGCCTTCTTGAGCATAGCACATGATAGTCACAATGTTGCAATGGCGAAAACGAGAGAGGGATTCGAGCTCGGCCTCAAATTGAGCGATGTCTTGCCTTGAATCCACAGCCAAACGCTTAACAGCGACGCTTGCACCCGCCAAGACGCCAGCATAAACGTTGCCAAAGCCACCACGACCGATGCGCCGTGATTCGGCAAAGTTGTCAGTGGCTTTAGCAAGCTCTTGCATACCCACTCGAGGAATAGTAGTGGAAATTCCAGATTGCTGTGTACTTGTGTTCGCAAAATCTCGATGCTGGGTTTGTCCATCGATGATAGGCTGCAATGCTGGCGCCAGCAATGGTCGCTGTTCGGATGCAACCAGTGGTGCGGCAGGCGATGCAGCATCTGTCGCTGCTGTTCTCGCCGATGCCGGTTGCGGCTCGAGTTGCCGTAGCGCTTCGACATCCTTCGGTGTGGGTTGCGAAACAGCGTTCAAGCGACGCTGCAAAAGCGAGTGGAGAACTGGAAGCCATTCCTCCTTGCGGACAGTGGCGAGCGTGTGCGAACAAGATAAAGGTTGCTCATTGTTGAGTGAGCTGTGATGTTGCACATCTTCATTTGTACTGCATTGAGTTTGTTCTGATGATCCTGATTTCGTGGTTGTTGCGTTCATGAGCTTCGAAGTGGAGGATTGAAATGTAACTAAAACCAACAAAAGGCGAGCTTTTTATGACAAACTGAGACAGAAGAGCATCTCTTTTGTAGCAGGGCAGTTACTATTACACTATTACGATTATCTGTGACCTTGCAGCTGCTTTTGGAGAAGAGGGAAGGAGGGAAGAGAATTGGCTCATTGCAACATCGCTGATCTCAAGGACGACTGAATCTGAGCGGGATTTACATTGCAAAAGTCAAAACGCACACATACACGCATACACACATGAGGCACAACACTGACAAGCAACAAGCAGCAAAAACGCTAAAACAATCAAAATGAAAACAACACGACAGCATGGCAAACACAACCTCAAAAGTCTTAGGAAATCACGCATTTGGCGTCGAGCTCGCGCCGGCCCTTCTTGGACTGCTTGAGATACTCTACTGCGAGTCGAATCGGTTGATGGACCACCAGGAGCTTTTCAAACTTGAACTCGGTGCCGCTCTTGACCTGCAGCCACAGCCAAATCCCAAACAAAAAATGAGAACAAGTTCGCCAACGTTAGGTTCCAGACTTGACCACACCCCGCATCAGACAGCACAGTTTTTTTTTGTCTTGTTTCAAGACGTACCATATCCACCTTGACGGGAACAATGCCTTTTCTCTTCCCGCCGAAACTGAGGCTTCCCAAGCCGCCGCCCTTCTTCATTTTGTCCATTTGGTAATCCATCTTGGAGTCCTTCTTGGCCCTGCTGGGCTTGGACCTGGGCTGTGAAATCTTGCTCACGCGGCTGAATCGGTGAACTTCTTTGATGTCTCCCTGTGCATGGCAAAATCGTGTTTTCACAGCAAACGCAAGAATAGTGGAAACAAAACCAAAAATCTGGTGAGCGTTTTGACCCCCCAGTCAACAACCTCCGGAAGCATTGTTTTTTTTTTCTTTTGGAGAGAACCGCACCTCAAATTCTCCATAAACATAGTCTTGAGGCAACCAGCAGGAGACTTGCAAAATGTTGATTGGAACATCGACTGGCGGGAACTGCAGAACAAGCTCACCGGCGCGCTGCATGGGCGAGAGCGCAGGGACAGGAGCCGATGGCTGTGCTCCCAGACCACGACGAGTCATGGACAAGGTGGAGGACGGAGCTGCCAGCCCCGACTCGCCTGCCTTCCCCTGCTTGGGATCCGGCATCGCGGCGGAATCTCCTGCCCTTGGATGCCGCACGTACATAAACTCCACAGAGAAGCTCGTGTATCCAGCGGGATCGGAGGTTGCGCCAGACACATCCAGGGCGCCACGCGACGGCTCGTCCTCTGGACCGCCGAGCTTTTGGAGGGGAATCAAAAGTTCGCCCGTCAGATTGTCTCGTGCAGGCTTGACTGCCTTGTCGCCAACAGTGGTGGACCAGACCTCACCGTCAGCAGGCAAAGTGATGCGAAGGTACTGCTTTTGAGTGTTGCGAATCTCAAACGCCAGACGGTACATGGTTTTGCCTTCATCCGTGACTGTGGCATCAAACTGCGCGGAATCGATGGAAGCCATCAAGACATCCACGTCCGCGTGCTTTTTGACATCGAGCTCAATCTCGTAGGTCGGTGTCAGGAACTTGTATGCAAGCAGGATTGGATTGGCAGCGCGTGTCTTCAATGACGCAGGGAGCTCGGCAACATCGAGCAAGCCGACACCGACGGCGCCTCCTGGCACCTGCTCAACCTCGACGCTCGTTGTGGCCTCGACGGCCAAAGTGCCCTTCTCGCGTGAAACCGGGCCCCGAACATGGCGGAATGTCGGCACGACAAACTTGCAGGACGTTGCCGGCAGTTGCTTTTCAGCGGTCACACGAAGTTCAAACTTGTCCTCCACACCATACTCGAGCAACACCTTGAGAATTTGCCGAGGCAGCCCACGCTTCTTGCCCTTGGCGACGGCGGTGGACGGCTCGGCAGCGTCTCCCGCCGCAACATCAAACTCGGAATAACTGGGGTCGTCAGGGTGGACCGTGGTGGTGTCCCACTTGCGAAGCACGCCGTTGGATGCCGTGTCGACATTCACGATGCGCAAATCAGCATCCAGGCACAGCTCAAACACCGCCATGGAGCCGTTCAGAATGGTGTACTCGAGCTGTGAAGTGACGAGCACCAGGCTCTCCCCGACAGCCACCAAATGCTGCTGGTCAACCGTCGCATGCAGTGGAAGCGCCTGTGCAACCGGAGCCGGGGCAGCGGCCTTGGGCGTGGTGGTCGTGGTGGCGCTCGGGTCGTCGTCAAACTGCCGGAGCCACTGCACATTGAGCCACGAGGACGTTGGTGGAATGGAGAACTTCATCGTGGTGCCGCGAACGTCGGCCGGTGGCTCAATGTTTTCGTAGCGCAGGCACGGGTGCACCGCGATGGCAGCCTCCAACTCGAGCGGGCTTTGCGCCACCACCGTAAACCGCAGCTCTCGCCGCGACGCGGGCGGCACTTGCAGGCGCAAGCCGGTCTCTCGCGCAGTGGCAAAAGGCGCGAGCGCCACCACCGTGACGGTATACACGCCGGAACGGAAGGAGGCCAGAGCATGGTGGGCGTCGAGCAGCAGCACGCACGGCTGTTGCGCGGCGTCCAGCTCGCGGCTGGCCTGTGCAGCGTCGTCCGCCGTTGGTTGACTGCGTTCAATGGGCTGGCCGTTCTCATCCAACCCCGCGTCCAAGTCCTCGCGCAGAATAGTGGCCGACTCGAGTGCGACCGATTGCGACAAGATTTTCGTGGCCGTGTAGTCCTCTGCGAATACCATGATTTTAAACTTGCAGACAAACCTGGGTTGCATTTTTATTTTCATAGCGACGGTGAGCGAAGTGAAGAGAGGGCGAGTCATTGGTAGCAACGAGCAGCAAGGAGCAAGTCTTTGTGTTTCGTTCGATCGTACCTGGCATGGTGGCTGTTGGTCGTTTGGCCCTCCATCTCGACGGAGAGGATTGTGTTTCTCTTGGGCGGCGTTTCCTTCTGCTGTGCTGCGGCTACACAAAACGCAACACATACACAAAGAAAGATCAAACAATTGTCGATCGTGAGATGTAGCAGTGCGAGCACATTTCGAGTGGATTGAATGAAAATTTCAGCATTCAACACGCTTCAACTCGACGCCTCTGCTGTTCGGCAGATCGCGTGAGTTTGGTTGTTGTTGTTTGTCCTTCGTTCTCTCTTCTCGAAAACCCAGCACTCGTCGACTGATCCAAGTTGACCAGGGCGGTTCAAAATACCTCAACCAAAAGAAGGCCCTAACCGTCCGGCCCCCGCTTTCCCCCCCCCCCGCAAAGGCTCAACACGCGTCGACCCAAAACACAAACGCCAACAGTGTGCGCTTGCCTGCATCCATCAGTCGCATGATGGCGCTGATGGGGACGGTGGCGAGGCCCTTGTCCGTCTTGCCGTCAGCGAGCGTCAGCTGCGTCTCGTCGAGAATGCTGCTGAGCGCCGCCTGGTGCGACTGCTGCACCGCAACGCTGCCATTGGCGTCCTGCGGCTGTGCATGTCCGAACGGGAGGAGGGCGCTTGGCGTCGCGACCGGTCCAGCCAAGTTGTTCATCGTAATGCTGTTCATCCGTCGAACGGCGTTCCGCTGCTGCTGGACCGGCATCTGCATCTGCATCTGCATCTGCGGGGCTGCCGGGGCTGCAGAGAAAAAGTCCACATCGGCTTCGTCGTTGCTCGAGCTCAGCGCCTGCATCTGCTGGAAGAGCTCCTCCTGCGCTCGCAGATTGCCGGCCTTCTTCTTCATCATCATTTTCGACATGTTTTCTGACGAAAGCCGAAATGAGATGACAATGACTAGACTGGCCTTCGTATCTTCGGTATGTCAAACTACAAAGCATGCTGTGCAAAATAACCGAGAAAAACATCTGGCAGGGCAACAGGCGAAAAAGGAATGGGGAAAATCGCGTTGCAACATTGACACTTTTTGGTTCTCAAAGTGGCTTGCGCCAAGAGCTCGTCAAGCCAGTTGAGCTCATGAATCCATCACCTCGCCACTTGCATGTCGTGGAAAATGTCACTTGCAATATTGTAGTCACACTCGGAGGCATTTTAGTGCACTGGCGAGGGGGGAAATGCCTCGTTGAAGGTTGGTGTTACGAATTTGGCTCAGTCCTGACTAGTCTGTTCGCGTTTCCCCTTATTTTTTGTGGTATTCTTCATCACACAAGACATTTGCATCATATCCTGGTGTCGGCTTGGAGCAAACGTTTGGTTTTAATTTTGGTCTATAAATTTTTGGTCCATTGAGAATGCAAGACAATGGGTTCACAAACTGAACAACAAGCTCAAAATGTACACTTTGCGTTATCACAGCGTAAAACTCTCTACACATGAAAGCACAAACAGCGCAATACAAATTACATCATCGGCATCAAGAACAGCCAAGCAGGAACCGCCAAAACAAACAGAGTCCGGACACCTTGCCGTGCTGAATGAACAGCTGCCTGCCTTCCACCCTTTCCTACGTTGTGTGAAGGTCTTTTGCGCAGTGCTGATTCAATTATACTGAATGAATTGTACTTCCATTCTCGGGCAGTCTTTATTTGTTCGAGTGCGTTTGATCGAAGATTCTTAGAATCGGACTGCGGTTTTGCTTGTCCATCTTCGTGCTGTGCTCGCGTTGCTCTCGTGTGAAGGGTGGAGGCTGGACGCTGTGAACGTGGCTGGTGGAGCTAACCAATGTAGCTACTCACGACACGGCCTGAAAGAGAGAGAGAGAGAGCGAGCGACTGACCGGCTTTGATGCCATCACAGAATTGACAGACTCGCAGCATGGCTTGGCGACAGAGCAACCTGGATGGAAAAGTCAAGAGCGCGACGAATGGAACACTCTAGTGCGTTGGAAGCACACAGATTCATGTCAAGTGTACATCCTGCAGGGCGCTGATGAAAAAAGTGGACTGTCAGTCTGGGTGGGAGGCAGATTGACGCCGATGAAGTTCAAGCGATTGCCGAAGCACTCCAAGTGAACCAGACGCTGAAGGAGCTCAGGTACGTTTGAGAGGCGAATTGAGGGGTAGTTGATGCTGCAGCAGACATCAAGATTGCTCACTGAAGAGCGAGGTCAGTTTGTACCACAATCAGATTGGCGATGTTGGAGCACTGGCGATTGCTCAAGCGCTCAGTGTCAACAAGAAGCTGACGACGCTCAAGTGAGCCCATTTCAATGAAGTCCTGTAGCAATTGGTGTAGTATGCTGATATTGAGATTGCTCACCGAGGTGGGGGTGGTGGTGGTCGGGGCTAGTCTGGGTGACAACCAGATTGGGTCCGCTGGTGCACAAGCACTCAGTCAAGCCATTTCCACGCTGGCTCGTCTCTAGTGAGCCACCTCACAGTTCCAGGTGTCTTTGAGTGACTGGCTGGCGCAGCTATGGGCACTAACAATATTGCTGACTGGTTAGCCTGCACGAGAATCAGATTGACAACGATGGCGCCTTGGCGATTGCAAATGCACTCAAAGTGAGCAACTCCTTGACGTTCCTCAAGTATGCTAGAGTGACTGCTGGTGCTTCACCACCGGGTGGGAAGCGTGCTCACTGATGCTGTGTGCGTGGGGACGGACAGCCTGCACCAAAATCAGATTGGCAATGCTGGAGCGCAAGCCCTTGCCGAGGCACTCAGCGTGAACAAGGCGTTAACTGACATACAGTAAGTTACAGCTGCGTACGACCGAATTGGGGGTAGCTAGCTGCGAGCAACTGTGCGTGCTCACTGGGCGAGGGACCCGAGCAGCCTGAGTGGGAATCAGATTGGCGACGATGGAGCGCGCGCCATCGGCGAAGCACTCAAAGTGAACAAGGCGCTGGCTGTGCTTGGGTAAGTCGGATGAAAAGATGGGTCATTGGTGGGCAGTCGAGTCGCGTTGCGGAGAATCTTTCGAGAGCGCCGCTCACCAGCGGAATGGGACAAAGCAGTCTGGGTTCGAATCAGATTGGCGACGCAGGCGCGCAGGCGATTGGCGAAGCAAACCCAAAGCTGATTGTTCTCTCGTCAGTCATCTTGCACCTATGAGTGCGTGCGAGGGATGAAGTCGGTTGCTGACTGATTTTCCGAACAGCCTGCGCCAGAATAAGATTGGCGATGCTGGCGCACACGCACTTGGTCGAGCCCTTCAAGCGAGCAAGACACTCACCGGGCTAATGTAGGTCGACTTAAAACGCTCGCACACACGATTCGGTTTTTGCACAGCTCATCGATCGATCGCCAGTTTGGAAGAGAATTTTATCGGTGTTGCCGGTGCACTCGCGCTTGCTGAGGCAATCAAAGTGACCAAGACGCTGACTCGCCTTGTGTACGTCGCTCTTTGATGGCGAGAGCTCGAGCCAATGTCTTCCCGACTTATCACCGCTTGAACCAACTGGACAGACTAATCTCCAATCCCGTTGGCGACGTGGGTGCTCAAGCAATCGATGAGGCGCGCAAAGTCAACAAATCTCTGACTGTTCTTTTGTAGATTGTGTGAATTGCCAATAGTCGTCCTCATCAGAACGTTTTTGTTTTTGTTTATCAAAAGGTCCAAAGTTCATGTACATGCAGAAACAAACAAAATTTCAATCGACTCACAACATTTCCGACATCATCAACTGTAACTACACCACCACCATCACATCATCGACTCAACAACACACAAAGCAAGCTAGCAATCTTCGTACTCTGCATCACGGCGACGGCGCTCGTTGCCCTCGTCGTCCTCGTCGTCGTCCGAGCAACGCGACTTTTTGGAAGGAGAGCCTTCCTCCTCATCGTCCTCTTGGTTGTCCCCAGACTTTGCGGCACGCTTCACGCCCTTGGTCGGGGTGTTTGTGGGAGTTGCTGCAGGCGCCACGCGCGACGGAGGCGTGAAGCCTGCGCGTGCGCCAAGTGGACGACCAGCTCCAAGTCCCTTGCGCGGAGTGCCAATCTGCGGCTTGATGCCTCCTCCTCCGATGGCAGGCTTGGCGGTGGTAGTTGCGGCGGGGCTGGCGGCAGGCTTCTTCGTAGCCGGAGCCACCTTCTTTGGAGCAGCAGCCTTCTTCTTGGGCGCTTCCTCGTCGGCTTCCTCGTCCTCGCCAGCGTTGTCCGCTTCAGCAGTGTCGCCCTCTTCGTCAGAGGTTGCCTGTTTCTTGTTCTTGGAGCTCGCAGCGGAATCGTCATCGTCCACCTCCATGTCGTCGGTGGTCGCCTTCTTGGCCTTCGCAGCAGCAGTCGCAGGCGCCTTCGCTGGGGACTTGGCCTTGCTGGCGGCAGTCGTAGCCTTCGAAGCGGGCGAGGCAGCCTTGGGAGCACCGGCAGGAGACTTGGCAGCAGGGCTCTTCTTGGCGCTGCTGCTGGGAGACTTGCTCGTAGCGGCGGCAGGCTTCTTGGCAGGCGACGAGGAAGGCTGCTTCTTGGCCGACTTGGACTTTTTGCGAGTCGGCTCGTCGTCCTCCTCCTCCTCTTCGTCAGCAACGTCGTCCTCGTCCTCCTCCTCGTCGTCGTCTTCGTCCTCCTCTTCTTCAGCAGCATCATCGTCATCGTCGTCCTCTTCGTTGGCATCGTCGTCGTCGTCCTCGCCCGCGTTGCCGTCTTCCTCGTCATCGCTGCCTTCGATCTTGGCTTGGGCGCTCTCCGACACCTTGCGCATGAGCTCGAGTGTGCGCTGCGCAGTTGCACGACGCGCACGACCGCCAGAGGCCTCGGTCAGAATGTTGCTGGCATCCACGTCAATGCTGGCAATCTGGGCGGCAGCACGCTTGGCAGCAGCAGCGGCGGCGATCGTCTCGGCCGACTCGCTCTCATCAGCACTGGACGTCGCAGCAGACGCTGCCTTGGCAGCCGCTTGGGCAGTCTTGAATTCCGTGCAGCGCGCAAGCGTGATGGGGCTGGCAACGCCCATTTCCGTCAGCGCGTTGGCCAGCACCTCGCACTGCTCCTCGGGGGTCTTGCCAGCCAGCTCCTTGGCAAACGTCTTGCGCGAGCCAGTCAGCTTGACGCACTTTTTCAGGTGCTCGACCGTCGTGGCCTCCTCCGCCTCGTCCCACTCGGTGGTCGTGGGTGCGTCCGCCTGTCCCTTGCTCGGAGTCTTGTTGCCGGCTGCCTTCTTGGCCGATGCCTTGGTCGCAGCTGGCTTTTCCGCAGCAGGGTCCATTTGCATGGGAGTCGAGCAGCCAGAGTCGGGTGTGTCGGCCGTCTTGTTGGCCGCCTGGTCGTCGTTCTCGCCGTCCGAAGCGGGCGAGTCCATGCCATGGATGGTCTTGTCGATGGGCGAGTCCGGGTTGGTATGTGCGCCCTAGTGAACATGACAAAGGAGAGGTGAGCCAAAAACCAAAAAAAAAAAAAAAAAAAAAAAACACAAAACAAAAGGCGAAAAAATGGCGCGAAACACTTTTTTTTTCTTCTGTGTGTTTTTTTGCTTCACTCACCAGCAACGAGTCAATGTACGCGCACAGCTGCTCGTTCATCTCGGGATCTTCCTTGAAGGTACCCTCGGCGAGAGACATCTTGTTCTCCACAGCACGGAGGACGTCCGCCACAGTGACTTGGCTGCAGCAAGCAAACGAAGTCCAACAAAAAATTGTTTCAGAAAAAACAAAAATCCAAAACGAAACATTTTAGTTGCTTGCAAGAAAGTAACAAAAAATCAGCAAAAGTGAAACAAATTGCGCTGCGCTCACCTTGAATCAGCGTTGTCGACGACGTCTTTGAGCAACGGCGTGATTTCCGACATGGGAGGGAGGACGGCAGTGGTCATGGTGGTTGTGTTGGTGGGGGAGTCGAGAGAGCGAGGGGCAACTGGTGGTTGGCGTGTGCGAGTGAAAAAAATCACAAAATGGGGTTTTTGTGTTTTGTGAAGGAAGAGTGAGCGAAATTGTTCCCAAATAGGAGGGCCTTTTAAAGCGCAAGGGCAAACTTTTGGCGGGAAGATGTTGAACGCCAGTTGCAAGTTGAAACAAGTTCGTTTTGGCGCCAAAGCTCGGGTTGACGCTTCTGCTGTTCTGGCCGCAGTTGGCCACCGATTTTGAGTCCATGGGTTGGTGGTTGCTGCCTTTGCTTTTGGATGCAGGTCGTTGTCGGCAATAGGGAAGGGGGGGGGGAAAGGGACGCAAAACAAGGTGCGCGATGAATTTGTTGCGAATGTGTTTCGACCGTCTGCGAGCACCCCGGCCCGGCTCGTAGCTCCTTCCTCGTCCGCTTTACATAACATCAATACAAAGCATCACTTTCTGCCGTCAGAGAGGGAGAGAGCCGCGCGTGCAAGTTGGGTTTGCAGTCCAACGGCATGCTGGTGGCGTGCAATTTGACGTTCAACTCACTTGTTTCACGACTTTTTCGAATTGACATGCAGGCACTGAACAGGCTGGCATTGCTCGACAACTCCAACAGCGCAGCACATGGAGCTGAGCGATGGTTTTGCCTTTCAATTTCAAGACGATCGCCTCTTCTGCTCATCCGCGCGGCCATTTCACAGCAGAGCGATTCGCACAACTCACAACCTCAACGTTTCACTCTGCAAGAAACAAATCAGATCAGAGAATATGCGCAATTTCATTCCCGATCTCAGGTGCGACTTTTTTTAAAGGCACAAGCAGCCACAGCCATTCCAAAAAGTGGTGCTTGACTGTGCGACAACAATCAGGCAAACATTGTTTTACTTGTCCTTCTTGCGCTCAGCGGGTGCGGAGCTCTGCGCCTAGATGACCACACAAACCAAAAATCAGACCCACAACAAAAATCATAAGATCAGGTTGGCGAACGGCTCAAAGAAATCCGATGCATCATTATAGATCTGTACCTCCTGCTGGCGCTCCTCAAAGTGACGATCCAACGCCGCTTGGTTGCGCTTGGCTTGTTCGACAAGGTTGTCAACGTTGACAAGGGCTTTCCTCTTGGCTGTGGGTCGTTTCAATGGAAGAATTCAACCAAAAGTGAGGCACCAGATGGACGCAGCAGCAAGACGCCAAGCTACTGCTACTGGAATTCCAACCAAAGAAACAACAGAAAGCGAGACGGAGGGAAGGTGGGAGGGGACAGGGAGAGCGAAAAAACGAGATCTTGCTCACCTTCTTCGCTTTCCTTGAGCTTCTGAGTCAAAGTCTCATTCTCCTTCTTGAGTTTGTCAGCGTCGCCAAGGGCCTTGACAGTCGTCTGCGGCAAGACACGACAAAAACAACACCCAGAGTTAATCCCGCGGCCACCCCAATCTTGAAGCAAGATGGCGATGCACAAAAAAGTCCACCTACCTCGGACTGGTTGCGCGCTTGACTGGCGAGAACATCCGCACGAACAAGTTCGGTGATGAGCGAGTAGAAGCGGTTCAAGACACTGCGGGATTTGGACAGACGAGAATTCACACAACAATCAGAAAAACACAAACGAAAAAGCGCCAAATCAGGAGCAAAAGTACGTACACAAGGAGGAACAGAGCAAAGCCGGTAATGTACATGTTGCGCTGCGCGCGGAACATGCGAATTTCAGTCTGCATGTCGCCGCTGTGGTGGTAGCCGTTGTGGCGCTTGTGCTCTTCGTGCTCGCGGTGGGTGGCACGAGCCTCGGTCAAAGCGGCTGTGTTGACCCAGAGCAGCAATAGTCACGCACACACACACACGCATACGGTTAGACCCACACACACACACACACACACACACACACACACACACACACATACGGTTAGACCCACACCACGCACGCGGAGTGAGGAGTGAGCGGGCAAGAGACGACCAAAATGAAAACAAAAAACCATACCAAAGAACAAAAAGCTGAGGATGGCAACGACCACCAACGCCAATGGCCACAGCTTGAGCAAGGTCTTGGAGTTGGCAATGCGAGACAGGATGGCCTGACGCCTGTGACGCATGTAGACAAAGATGCAAATGAGAACCAGCACAGAATTCCAGTGTCAGGGGCGAATCGGGCCTTCGCGAGCTCAGCACGACCACGTTCACACACGCGTGCCCTTGGAATACAAGGCAAACATGACACAAACACAAGCTTACCAGCGAATGGGCAGCGGAATGCACAAGAGTGCAAAAATGACCACTTCAGTGATGAGCAGGTAGTAGACGAATGTCCACTCGAGAGCCATTTTCAAGAATCGGGGGAGGGGGTTTCTATCCAACGCAAAGCAAGCAGCAAGACGGACAGGTCGTATAGTCAGGATGATGAGGCAGGACGAGGAGGCAGGTCTGACCGCCAAAGAGCGAGATCTCGTCATCATCATCATCCACCCCTCCCTCGCTCACTGCCGTCCGACCATCGACACGCAAACCTCCCACAAACCCCTAAACTTCCAATCCACGATCGTATTTCGTTTTCAGGGCTTGAAAGCGTCGCGCTGCAACACAACGAGTGAGCGAGCGTTCTGACGTGGCAACACAGCGAAAACGGCAAAGCAATCATTTCAGCCGTTCACGTTCACAGTTGCAGACGTTTTTCACGCGATACTCGCTGGTCTTGAGTGCTAAGCAGTCGTAGTAGTAATAGTAGTTGCTGTTGTCGCACTGTCTTCGAACCAAGGAAGAAAAGGAAAAAAAAGAAAAAAACCAACCAACTTGGAAAACCAACTCACTTACAATCAAAACAATGAAGAATGAACAACCAAATGGGCTGAACAGCCCGAAACTGCATCTCGAGTAGACGCGGTCCGAGCCGCCTCCTTTTGCGCGGAAAGTGATACATGCAAACATGTTTGTTTATTCTATGAACAGGCGGGGGCGATGGTTGCACTGCAGGAGCAAAGTCAACGCGTTGACTAGTTCTGCAGTCCTGAATCGACGTTTGCCGCTCTGTGTTTCACTGCGCCGCACGTGAACGACTCTAGATCTATTTTATTCTGTGCGTGGGCTTTCCATTGCGGTTTTTTTATTTTTTATTATTATTATTTTTTGTTTTGTTTGAACCGTCAAAGTTGAAAAAACTATCCGATCTGTATTGTTTTGTTTTTGTATTAACACTCTCTAGTAGATACAGCAAATGTACATGCAAACTCCAGTTGCCGCCTCACAAATGGCCAAACTTCTCCCTTGCAATCGCCGTGCGCGTCGCGACGAGATCGCCGTTAAAACGTTGCAAGTACTGGGCGGCTTCGGCACTGGTGGTACCAAGAAGATTCTTGATATCTTCAATGTCTGGGTTGCTGAACTTGCGAGCTTGCTCTAGCGCGAGCGCCGCCTCGAGGTTGCTGTTGGCCTGCTCGAGCTGCTCGATGCGCACAAGATGCTTGCGTTCAGACTCTTCCAGATGGACTGTGAGCTCGGCAATACGGGCGTGGCGAGACCCCATGTCATCTTCGAGCGTCGTGATCAGCGCGCGCGACGCTGTCGCCTCCTGCTCAAACTGGCGAGCATACCCTGCCATCTTGTCGGACGATTCCTGCAAGGCCATGCATCGTGCCTCCAGCGCCGCAGCACTGTTAGCGCGAGTCGCCAAATCCTTCCGCAGCTCCGCAATCGTTTGGGAGAGTTCGACTTCCTTTGCCAATGGCAGCGATGCACGTTCGTGGCGCTCCTTCTCGAGAGTGGCACGCAGCGCGGCCTCGCCTTCAAGAGCAGCAACTGCGCGCGCCTCCGCGCCTTGCTGACGAGAGACTGCCTGCTGCAGCTCCACCTGGTGACGGCTGAGCATGTCGAGCTGCTCCTGCTTGGCCAGAGCCGTATCCTGCTTGAGCTGTTGCAGCTCCGCCTGGTGACGGCTGAGCATGACGAGCCGGTCTTGCTTGGCCTGTGCTGCATCCTGCTTGTGGTGCGTCAGTTCGTCCTTGAACAGCTTGGTCTCGCGCTCCGACTTGGTCAATGCCACCTGGTGACGGCTGAGTAAGTCGAGGTTGTCCTGCTTGTGCTGTGCCGCTTCCTGCTTGTGCTGTGCCACATCCTGCTTGAGCTGCTGCAACTCCATCTGGTGACGGCCGAGCATGTCGAGCTGCTCCTGCTTGGCCTGGGCTGCGTCCAGCTTGAGCTGCGTCAATTCGTCCTTGGCGTGCTTGGTCTCACGCTCCGACTGGGTCAGTTCGTCGCTCGCAGCGCGCCACTCTTGCGTCAGTGTCCCCACCTTGGCCTTCATGGCCTGGACGTCCCTGTCCGCGTCGTCAAGGCGCGACTTGAGGTCTTCATGGGACAACTCGTAGCGCCGGACTTCCTGCTGGAGCAACAGATTGCGCAGCTGAATGTCGTCGTGAGCCTGTTGCAAAATTGCAAACTGAGCAAGCCTCTCGGTGAGCACATCGTTCTCGTGCTTGAGCGTCACTGCATTCTTGATGGCGTCGCTTTCGAGGCTGACTTGCTGGACCAGCACCTGATTGGCACGCTTCAGCGCAAGGTTCTCGGCCTGGAGACGTTCCACGGATTGCTGAGACACATCGTCAGCTCCAGCCTGAGCAGCAGCCTGCTGCGTGGTAGCGGCGGCGGCATCGGCAGCAGCGGCCCGAGAAGCCAGCTGCTCAATCACCTTCTTGGAGCATTCAATCACATCGTTCACACGCCTTTCGCCCAACTTGACTTGGGCAACCAAGTCTGCTTGCTGCTCGGCGTCCAATTCAAGCGTGACGGGCAGCACGTACTCGTCCTCGTCGTCCTCACCCGCGCCGAGTGCGCCAACTCCGCGGTAGTCGCCCAGGAACTTGTCAATCCTCTCGAGATGATCCGGATCGCCATTCTCCAGGAACAGGACGACTTCCTTGGCGCACGGCACGCTTGCAGAGGCCAGGCCGTAAGACTCGAGTTGGCACCAGCCGCTCACGGTCGGCACGCTGTTCTCCGGGAAGTCGGCGTAGCCCATGTCGTCGCCTGCGCTGCACAGGACGATCTTTTCGGCAATCTTCTTGTTGTCCGGCAATCTGTTCGAGCAAAAACGAAACGGCGAGTCAAAACAAAGTGAGCTTCGGGATGCATGAACGCTTGCCGTACGTCGCCACGACTTTTTTGCGTTCTTTTTTTTTTTCTTGTTCCGTTTGATCCAATGTCAATGCGAGATTAGCATCGATTAGCTATACATTGTGTACAATGTGTTTTCAATGTGTTTTCAATGTGTTTTCAATGTGTTTCGCGTTTAGCTGTGTGGGTGCGGGTGTTTTTTTTTTTTTTGTTTTTTTTTTTCCATTTTCGATTTCCCTCCGACAACACAGCTCAAAACACGGCCAATTCTCTCTCTCTCTCTCTCTCTTTCTTCTCTCTCTCTTCTCTGCCAAAAACAAACCCAAAACAACCTCCACCCATAAAGTGCTGAATCGCAAAGCAAACTTACGACGAGAGGACCACGCGGCCAGTCTTCGAGGAGGGTGCGGTCGGCGATGCTTGCGTCATCGCGCAGCCAATGCCCATCGCGCTCGGAAAACCGCCTCGCTGCTGCTGCTGCGCGTCCTGAGCCGCCCAGTCGCGGACGTCGCTGGTGCGCTGGAACTCCACGCCGACGCGCAGGGCCTCGCCAGGGCGGAAGCTTGCGCGTGCCAGGTGCAGCGTCACTGCGTACGAGGCGGACGACGCGTCGCGCTCAGAGTAGAGGAGCGACGACGACGCGAGACTCTCGCCAAACTCGCTGTCCGTCTCGAGCGAGGAGGGAGCTTCGGAGGTGACATCAGAAACATAAGAAGCAGCAGTATCCATGGTGTCGAGCGTGGTGGGAACGCCAGAGGTGGTCTCAGTGGCGACACGAGCAGCATCAGCGGCAGCAGCGTCAGCCTCGCGAACGGCCGCAGGAGGTGCAGCTGCCACCGCGTCGCAAGTCGTCGTCGTCGTCGTCGTCGTCTGCTCGTCAGCTGTGATGTGAGTCATTTGGAAAGAAAGAAAGCGTTCAACGAAGGAAGATACGAAAGAGCTGCAAAAGAAGAATCAGAACGAGAACAACTAAAAGGAAAAGAGTGAACGAGTCGAATTTGGATTTGGCCAATTTCAGCACTACTCCCACAGCCAAACACGTACAGGACAGCATGAACGGAACAGCCAAACAAGCAACACTACCGCCAACGCCAGTTACACTGCGACACAACAAAACAAGCATTCTGCACACTGCACACTGCACACTGCACAGGTCGTTCAAGGTTTGAGCAGAACGAACGAGTCGTAGTGATGCACTGCCACACCAGCAAAGCGCTCGGCCGCATACCCAGCAGCCACAGCTGCGTCCAAGGTTTGTGCCAAGGCGGCAAAGCCCTTGTTCCAGAACGTGCATTCCTCTGGAGCTGTGCATGGTTCGCGTTGCGTGAGTGATGCAATTTACCTCACTCTCCCGCTCACTCTCCATTCACAACTCCCTGCTCCAGCTTTGATGTACTCGACCAGTCGCTGCGCAACAATCTCACCTCGGGGTGGCTGGATGGTCTCCGCCGCGAAAACCAAGTTGCATCCCGGCGTCGGCAGCAATCGCAAGTTGTTGTGCAGGCCGCCAATGTGCTCGCAATCACCATTCAGAAACCCGTCTGTCGACGCGTAGTAGTTCATGATTGTGATTGCATCGAGCAGCAGTCCTTGTCCAGATGCGGCTGATGGCTTCTCAATGACGGGAAGGCTCGCATTCAGCGCGAGCCACAAATCTCCCACATTGTAGTAGTAATCTGGCCCGAGATCGACACTCAGCGTCATGGCCGAGCGCTTCTGTGCCATTTGACGGCGTGCGTCAATCAAAATGGCGAGCAACCGGCGCTTGACATGGTTGTTGTACCGCCTTCCGTCGCGGATGCCGAGTTTGGCAAAGTCCGTCTTCTGCCGCGCGCTTGTGAGCAGCAGCCAAGCTGGATCGTGCTTGGCGTCAATGTCGGCGGGTGGACTCTGTGGCGTTGCCAGCCACACGTCCGCGCCGAGACAATGCGGCTCAATATCGAGATGAATACCATCAAACATTTCTGTTGGATCGGCCGCCGCAGCGTTGAATGCGAGCACTTCCGCAACGAGCTCTGACGGCGCCAGAATCGACTGCTCTGAGCTCAGCCATTTGGGCTGTCCGTCCAGAAACTCGACAGCGATTCCGTGCCGATGGCACTCTTTCAAGAAGGCTCGAAGCTGGTTGGCGCAGGTAGGATTGGACAGGTTGTCTCGATCGGCTTCAAAGTAAATCCGATTGAAGGGGTTCATGGCAGAAACAGCTCCAATTGGTCGACCGACTGACTGCGCATGCATGGGGATCTCTTGACAGGGCGCGCCAGGGCGCGGGTTGAGGAGGAACGAGAAGAACGCAGCCCGATTTGGAACATTGGTCGGATTGATCAGCTCGGCAGCTCGTCCCCAGACGTACACGGCGCGCGTGAGTTCGATATGCATGATGGAGTCTGTTTGTGACGATTTGTGAGGTGGAGTGAGCTGGTAACGACCAGAGGAGCGGTAAACTCACACGAGTCGTTCATCCTCAAAGGTAGGACATTCTGGTATTTGCGGTCTTACTCGTGCTGGGTACGATTGAGAGCTTTAATGACTGATTCTGAGCAGTTTTGGTGATTGGTAGCAGTGTGTCTTGAACGAGATTTCCTTGACCGTAATGTCACTCACGATGGAAAAACACAAAATGCACCATTCTTCATCAACCTTGATCAAAATAAAACAAGAAAAACATGCAAAACCGTGTTGTATTGCATGTGCCTTCTCGACACGCAACTCATTAACTGCATCAACAAAAAGCCCAGAAAGCTCCCCCCCCACAAAAAAAGTTCGTCATTCGGCAGTCTCTTGCTCGTTGTCGCTCGCGCTCTCAGTGATACCAAGGCCGGGGCGTCCAGAGCGTCCATTCTCGGTCGAGCTTGGGGCAGCAACGTAGGCGGGAACTTCGCTTTCGGGTCGATTGTCAACGCCGACGCGCACACGCGACAGCTCCTCCAGCCAGTGGTACATGACACCCTCACGCGCTTCCTTCAAAACCACTTCGCGATCCACCAGGTCAAACTTGAATTGGGCCAGCGCGGCATTTGCGCTGTCGAAATGAACAGAGCCGTGCCCATCAGACTTGCCAAACTTGCGCTCGTAATCGCGGAACTTGACGCGCTCGAGTGCCAAGCCAAGCCCAGGCGCGCGCGGAACAGCCATTTGCGGCAGCGTAAACGAGTTTGGAATGGAGAAGGTCTCGCTCTGACCACGCACAATGGCAATCACCATGCCGACCATTTTGCGGATTTGGTTGTACATGAAGCTCTGCCCTTCAATGACCATTGTGACCATCTCGAGATGCGTGAGATGGTCTGGGCAGCCCTCCGGAGCGGGCTGGTCGGCCGAGACGGGCTCTGGATTCGCGGCGAGCCACTCGCGATCGATGGGTGTCAGCAGCGGATCGTTGACGGTGCAGGATTGCATGACACGCATGGCCTGCGCATCGTTAATGCGGACTTTGATGGTGTAGTTGTGGAAGCGGTGCGAGCCAGTGTACTTGGCGAACGTGTCGCGCACTTTTTGCAGCGTCGCGGCGTCGATGCGGTAGTCCCAAGTCATGCTCTTGTATGGAGCAAATGCAAACGTTGGCAAAGTGTAGGAATACACACGACTCGTGCAAGCTGTCCGGGCGTTGAAGCTACCTGCGACACGCGCATAGCCTGTGGCATCAAAACAAACAAGAAACGAAACGAAACGAAAAGTCGGGAAAACGTTGTGAGCGAGCGTCCACGTCGTTGGTTGGGTCAAAACGTCATTGCAAAGCAACGAGCATGAGCGAGGTGCCAATACCATGTGCTCGGATATCATGAGGCAACTGCTCGTTGATGCGTTCGATCGGGTTGGGCACCATCAGCATTTTGAATGAAATCACTTGGCCGATCGCCGAGACTCCCGTGTCTGTGCGAGCGCATCGCTGAAAGTTGATTTTGTGAATGCTACAAAAAGAGGGAAGGAGGTTTGGGATCAGCAGGGAAAGCACAGCAGGCAACATGAGTCCAAATCGGCCGACAAACGCGCACACACCGCTCATTTCTTCTCATCCACCAGTCGCGACTGCTGCGTTGCACCAACGCGCTATCGTCGAGACCTCGTGCCACGCACGAGTTTCAGAGCATCGCACACTTTCACCAATACAAAACTCACTCGGCGTTGCATGCGGCCACAGTGCCCGACTTGGCAAATGCCTTGAGGAGCTCGCCCTCGATGGTCGGAACGTCGCCATTGTACTGCATGCCGCGGTACCGTGTTCCAACAAAGCTCACGAGCATGGCAACCTTGCGCTTCGGGATGCGGACGCCGTTCTCGTCAAAGACGCCCTCGGCACCTTCGCCGTCGTCCTCGCCATCGGGTCCCTTGGGTCTGGGCTCGTCGCGCGGCTGCATGCGCTTCTGCTTGCCAAACTCGGCCTCCTGCTTGCGGGTGCGCTTGAGGCGAGCGGCAGGCGATCCCGGCGATCCTGGCGAACCGGGTGGCGAGGCGGTGGCGGTCGCTGCATCCGCGTTGGCTTCGTCTGCGCCTTCTGTGCGTGTGCGCTTTGCATCACGAGTGTCATCATCGGCCTGCTGGGCAGACGTGGTGGTCGCAGTGTTGCTGCCAGCATCGTCGTCGGTCGCAACAGACTCCTCGTGCGACCGCTTTGCAGCCACGACCGCAGACGAGGCGAGTGGCGCCGTGGTCATTGGCACAGGAGCATTATTGGCAGTATCAGTGAGAGTGTTGGACGGCGGCGGCGACAGCGGCGACAGCGGCGGTGGTGGTGGGGAGGACGACATGGATGAGCTTGAGCGGAGAACGCGTGGTCGACTTGCAGTAGTGAGAGCAGCAGCGAGGGAGGGCACACGGAGGGACTGCGGCGCGACAACAGCAGCAGCGACAAAGGAAGAGGAGGATGCGACTGCGGCCACGGCGACTGCGGCGGAAGCGAAGCGCGGGAGGAAGAAGGAGAGCAGCGACAGGGCTGGAAAAGCAAACCAAAGGAACAAAAAGGAAACAAAAGGAGTGAATCAGAAGGTCTGAGATGGTCTGAGAAACAAAAAACTCAGAAACCAAAGGAAAATACAAGATCAAGTCAATAAAAGAGTGGACTACCGCACAACAGACAACCGATAATAAACCGATAAATATATTGTAGAGTTGCAGAAGCACGAAAACACAAAAAAAAGCCGCTTAACAATCAATAAGCTGGGTCGACTCTCTGCAGGGACGGAATGATCATACAGAAACCCCCCCCCCACATGGTCGACAAGTCGTGTACTCTGCTTCAACTCAGCGTGGAGAGTGGCTTTGGCTGCCTCCATCGCCAGAGCCGTCCGCGGAATCGTCGCCATCCGTGTCCTCCTCCTCTTCCTCTTCCTCTTCTTCGAGATTGTCAGAGTCATCTTGCGCATCACCGGTTGCGCGGCGCGATTCAAGAATCTCGCGAATGATGGCATCCGCGTCGCCGTGCTGCTTGGTCCGGACGTGCTTGCGGAGGGATCGAGGATGGTAGTACGACCGCATGCAGGTGGCCAGCGGGCAGGTGAACTTTCGAGTGCCAGAGTGGACTTGCATGTGCGCACGCAGCGAGTCGATGCGCGGAAAGCGCTTTCCACAGCCAGGCACCGAGCAAGAGTGCGGTTTCTCGCCCGTGTGAATCCGGACGTGCGTCATAATCTTGTGGCGCTTCCGGAAGGGATTGCCAGCCTGCATGCAGTTCTTCCAATCGCAAAAGTAAAAGCGAAGACCGCTTCCAATGTGCTCGTCGGTCACGTGCGAAACAAAGTCGGAGAACGACAGGAACGAGTCCGAACAGCCCTGCCATTCGCACTGGAAGGTCGAGGACGCCCCGGCCACGCTGTTGTCAACGAAAACTGTGCGTGGTACAGCGGGTGCGACGGCGGGCGCCGTGGCGGCTTGTACAGAGCTGACTGGTGTTGCGGTGACTTGTGCCGAAGCGGCTTGCGCCAGGCCAGCAGTCTTGTCATCGCTGCTGGTCGTGCTGCCTTCGGTGCTCGACTTGCGCCGGACCCGCTGTCGACTCGACTGTGAGCGATCGGGCAAATCAGCCTGGCTCGCCGTGCGCCTCTGAGCAGTAGAAGCCTCTGCCGATTCAAGTCGAGGACTTCCTTGAAGCGAGTTTGCGCTCGATCCATGCTTTGATGACGGGAGCGAGTCTCTGCCCCGCGCAACGGGGAGGTAAACCGATTGGAATGGCATGGAAGCAGCATCCGCACCACCAAGGTGTCGAATCAACGATGGGGAGGGTGCAAGCAGCGGAGGCGCAGCGAGTTGCTGCGGACTCTTTGCGGCGAACAGCTGTGGAGATACCAGGTTTTGAGGAGGATATCCGACCTGAAGTTGCTGTGGGTGTTGTTGATGTTGTGAAAGCTGTTGTTGATGTTGTGAAAGTTGTTGTTGCTGTTGTTGTTGCTGATGCTGTTGCTGTTGTTGTTGTTGCTGATGTTGATGTTGCTCTTGCTGCAGAGTCAGCTGGTAGTGACTCAAAGTCGGCAGATATTGCGCGTCCTGCACGGAATAGGGCGAACTTGTGGGTGCAGCATGAAATGACGAGGTCGGTGCGCTAGAATGCCAGCCTGGCGCAGTCGGTTGTGTGGGAAGGATGCTTGGTTGCTGCTGCAACACTGGAATGCCATCCTGGCCTTGTCCGAAGTTCAGTTGCAAGGCAGTTTGCTGGGATGCTGACACATGCGACCCTGAGGTCATTGCTTGCAAGTACAAAGGGTGATTGAGTGGAAGGCTCGAGTAGGGCAGTTGTTGTTGCAGTTGTTGTGGTTGCTGTTGTAACTGCTGTTGTTGTTGCTGTTGCAACTGCTGTTGTTGTTGCTGTTGCAGCTGCTGCTGCAACTGGAGTTGTTGTTGCAGATGCAGTTGTTGTTGTTGCTGTTGCTGCAGTGTTGGCTGCACAACACTCACCATCTGCGGTTGCGGCATTCCGCCTTGCTGGGTGGTGGCGGGTTGTACCAGGTGCAAGTGCTGCGGCTGCGAGAGACCTGATATTGGGTTTTGTACAAGCTGGGCTTGCAAGTCGTGCAGCGTGACGGGTACTGGGTGTGGCATGAACGATTGAGGCAGAGGATGGGTTGACGAGCCCATCTGGTAGTGCATTACACTTTGCCGTTGCGCGTCCGATGCGAATGGGACATGCTGTCCAATCGGTGCCATCTGGGATGACGCATAATACACGGGCGATGGTGCTGACTGCGCCAATGCCGTTTGCTGATATGGGACAAACCCTTGAAGCCGTTGCTGTTGCTGTTGCTGTTGTTGCTGTTGTTGTTGCTGCTGCTGCTGTGGCGGTTGTGGATGGTGCTGGTGCTGCTGGAGTGGACGATGGTCCAGTTGCAGTTGCTGAAGTGCCACCACGCCACCCGCCGACCCATACGGTGCTGGCTGGAAGGTCGGGCGAGGCAACAATTCCGTGTGCGCCATTAGTGATCTCGGAGGGGAATGTCGCTGCGGTTGAGCGTCGTTGAGCGTCGGCCCTGGTTGTCCATCCGCAGCCAGCAAGTTGGAGTGGTCGCTCTGCTGCAGTGCGGTTCCCGGCCAGCTCATCCGCAAAACAAAATCAAAGCCCCCGGCCGCGCGCACAGTCGGTCTTCGAGCGAGACAAGAGGGAGGCGCCTGACAGGTGAGCAGTGTACTGACTTGGGCCAATCGGGCCTCACCCCTTCCTGCTGCGCAACAGGCAAAATCCAGGAAGCAAAAGCAGTCCACACAACACACCAGTAAAACGGGGCGGGTCAGCAACACGATTTTTCACCGCACTCTCCATGAACGCATGTTGCAAGAGACAAGGCGGGAGGTCGAGAGAGACAAGAGCGCGCGAGTGTTGAGCGCGGGCTTTAATTTTGACCGATTGCCGCAGCAACAGCAAAGCCGCAGCAGTCCTCGCCGCAGTCGTTGCAGCAGACAATCCCGCATCAACGCGTCGCCGTCATGGGGGAGGGGGGGGTAGTCGGTGTGCTCATAAGCAAGTGGGAGAAATCTGGATCTGTTACCTGATAGTGTGATGTTGGTTTTTCGCTTGTTCGCTGTTTCGGCGTTGGGATAAACCCGCCAAACCTGTTTGAAAAGCAATGAATTGAAACGGAGGGAGAACAGGCTGTTTGTGCCCGCTGCAGCCCGGCGAGTGAGAAAAGACCCGACGTGGATTGGCGTTAGGCAGAGCGAGGGCGGACCAGGGGCACGGTCGGAGTGGGAGCGACGCACGCACAGCCGGAAGCGAACATTCGAAAAAAAATAAAAGCGGAGGAATATAAAAAAATAATAGTCAAAGACAACAAAAACAAAAAACACAAAAAAACAAGGCCAAAAGTCAGATAAACAGCGAATGGCGCAGCGCTCAAATGCGGATATTGCACATCTTGGCGATTGGATCTGAGTCGACAGCTCTTTTGTGGTCTGTGTGTGTGTGTGTGTTTATTAAATCACTCCAAAGTGCGACTCATCACGCCTTCGCTCACCCCCCCCCCTCCCCAATGTCTCAGATTGTTGTTGTTGTGTGCGTCAGGTCCGATTGTTTTGAAAATCGTTTGGGAGATTGTTTTTTTTTTTTTTTTTTGATTTTGTTTTGTCACTGCAAGGGTTTCGGCGAAACGATCGACCGTCCAATCCATCACGCACAAAAACAAAAGCCTGGCGCCCTGGAGTGGAGCGTTCAAGCAACGTCTGGCGCAACGGAACGTGGAGGGGCGTTAACAAAAGGGGGAGGGGGAAAGGGGGATTGGGTGTGTTACGCCTTGATTCCCCTTCCGTTTCACTTCCGTTTCGATGATCGATCGGTCTCCTCCTTTTCCCCCTTCTAAAACGCCAACTGTCTTCCGGCGTCATCACCCGTCACTCGTCGCTTCGAGCTGTTTGACTGCTGCGTGTTCAACGTCGCAATCGTGCGGATACTTTCGAGTGTGAGATCTTATTTCGTTGTTGTTGTTGATATTGTTGTTGTTGTTGGGTTGCGTCGCTTTTTTTTTTTTTTTTTTTTTTTTTTTTTTTTGTTTTGTTTTGCGGTGTGCGTCATACATGCTAAAATCAACAAATGAGAGGAGACCGAGTGCACGATTCGCTTCCGCCCACCCCGCAGCGCATGCGACCGCGAGATCGAAGCAGAGCGAGGCACAAATACACAGCTAGTATGAGGGTGAGTGGGACGCCGTGGGCTGCAGCGCGAACAGCGGAAGACGTAGATGGAGCGATTCGGGCTTGGTTTGGTTGGAAACATTAGAAAAAAAAAAACCGCGAAAGCCGGGGTCATGACTCGTGTTATTGGGGACCTCTTATCGGGGGCACCGGTGCTCGGACTGCCGCACCGCACGGGGCCAGTGCACGACCGACAGCAACATCGCGCCAGCGGCGATGCACGCTGCACGGAGCGCAGATCGCGCCCTCCCCGCCTTTTGTTCCGTGTCATTTCCTCCCAATCGAATCGCTTTTTTTTTTTTTT